AGGGCTCCAGAAGGCGGTAATTCCACTGGAATACCTTGGAGCTGCCCAAACAGGACTTTTGGCCCGGCGACGCTTCGCGGGAAATCGGGACGGCGGGCTTTACCGAGGGATGGGCCTGACGCTCGGTGGCGGAGGGGTCGCTGGAACTACACGGCTCGCCCGCGGCCTCCTCCTCCGCCTTGATGCGCTCGATCTCCATGATCTCCTCCGGGCTCATCGCGAGGTTAATTGTTGGGGAATAGTACAAATACGACCGCTTTCCCATCTCTTTCGAAACCGACATACAGAAGCGATCAATCACCTGCAAGTACGCGCTAATCGTCATCTCATCCAGGCGATCCTTCGGCTCGTTGCTCTCCTCGCCTTGGCTGAAAAGACTACTCTGGCTGCAATCCTCGTCGATTGAAAAGCCATTTGGGGGTTTCGCGGGACTCCGCCCGAAGGCGGCGACCGGTTTACCACTCAACGGATCTATTTTATTGCCCCATCGCTCCCTGTCGAGCTCGACCCCTCTTTGTCGTTTGATGGACAGAGAAGGCAGCCTCATCCAGGCCAATTTCACGACGCGGAAGATCTCGTGAAGGCGCTTGCCGACAACCAACGTCATCACCGGGGCCTTTTCGGCCACGTAAAGCAGCACCGAGGAGTGATTGCCAAGCGGCAAAACCCCGTAAAGCGCCTCACAACGAAGGCAATTACTCAGCGAAAACCCATCCACAAACTCCGTCGCCGGGGAAATGGAAAATGGAAATCTATTAGGTGTTTGATAGGGGGGTAATGAGAATTTAAACGCAAGCTCCTTGAGACTGGAGCAAATCCCCGCCTCCTCCTCTTTAAGGCAATCTAAGAAGGTAAAGCGCTGCAAATCGGGTTGCCAGAGCATCGGTGGGAGTACAGAGGAATCGGGTAGGTAGTAAACCCGCGAGGCATTAGTTATAATTTTACCAGAATGATTCCACATTTTCCAATTTATGTATATAAATTTTATGAAAAATAATTGTTTTTTTTTCTTTGTTTATTCTAACTAGAATTTTATTATAAAAGAAATCTAGCTTTTGAGTTGAGAAAATGAGGGAGTAAAACTAAACTTAAAAGCAGTTCTAGAGTGAGAAAAAGATGTTTAATAATCGGTATCAGAGATACTACCCTCTCTTCCCTCCTGTATATACACTCAAACGTTCATTTTTTTAACGTTACTGGTTGTTGCACTATGAATAGATTACCGAGGTGTTATAACTTAATTCTTTTTTTTATCCCCAACTTCCGAATGCGATGAGGAAGTCGAAGTATCTTCCATAAACGCATAGATCGTGTAGCATATCATGAGCGCTACAACAGATACGAGAGAGGCAAATCCTCCGCAAACGACCGGATTTATTCCTAACAAAGGGGCAATATAATACATTCCAAAGAGTAAAACTAAAATAGGAAATGTAAACATAACGATACTAAACCCAATAAAGACATTTATCACACGCTGAGAATGCGCACTCTGAAGTTGCGTAAATAAAAGTGCACAGCCTTTGCTCTTCTCAGAGATCGGCATCGAAATTGCCCTCCGGAAATCCTCCCTGGAGAGATCCATCTGGCGAAGCATTTCACTGGTTGTGAGTTCTTGGTTAATTTGTTCGTCTACCGCATCGTCCAAAGGTTTATATAGGGCGTTGTAAATAAATTGATTCTCTTTTGCCTCGACATCCCGTAAAAGACGTGTTTTAGGCTGTATAGATGATGCGTCCTTCTTGTCGGCGCACAAATCCGAAGGGGGTTCTCTCAGGGAAGCCTCCTTGCTAGTACACAATTCACTATTGCATATTGTTTTATTGTCATTTTCCGATATCATATCCATAATATATAGGCTAAAATCTAAACTCTGTAGGCAGAGGCAAACCGTTTTTTAAAATTATTTTACGACGTTTCCACTGCAGTTGATGTGTGACAGTTCAAAGCACCTTGGTTTTTTATTTAAAAGGAGTATATTGTAAAATTTGTGGAATGAACGTAGTGTTAATGATAAGCTGAACAGTATCATCGCAAGGGAATATTAAATACCCAATAAGAATCATCAATGGTAATGTCATAAGCATGTGTTTCTATCTAAGAAAAAGACATCTCCGTTCGTATTAGCCATGAACACAGATATAATAAATTTATACAGATAATAACGCAAGCTGTTGAGATGGGGGGGGGGAAATGAACAAAAAAAAAACTCATTCTACTAAAGGTATACGGATTTACAGGGTTTCAATTAAGGCAGCCTCTGGCAAGTCAATCAAGATACTATACAAAATTCGAGATGAGTTTTCTTGGATTACCAAAGCGGTGATCCCATCCCCCTTTGTCTCCCCTTCCTTTAACTCAACAAAAACCTCACAGGGGTGCTCAACCTTCGGAAGCAAATACGGGACTCGAAAGGAAAAATTCGGAATGTCATAAATGGATTGATCGCCTGAAAAGATAACCAGAAGTCCTTTGAGTGGGGTGTCGTGCATATTTCGCAGGATTCCCTTAACTTTAAACGCAGGACCGAGTCCTTGGACCGAGGTATAGAGGCAAACGCCTGATCCCCCCTCTCCCAGCGTTGCGGTCAGATCGGCGGGGCCGACGGTTCCACACGTCGCGCACGACCCCGCGGGGATTCGATTCGCCATCGACGGAAGTGAAATCCACGAAAGATAAGACTGACTCGTGAGAAGCCGCAAACTGCAAAGGTCGTGGTGGTAATGGTGGTAGATCTCCATCCCGTACTTCTTCTCCCGCTCGGTTTGGAGGGCAAAGACGGCGCTCAGCCTCGGCGGCTGCATTCCCGTGCTCGGCCTTTCCGTTTGCGGCTCGACGATCGAGGCCGCCGCGGCGGGGTCCAAGCTCACGCTGCGATGCAACATCTGCACGATGAGGGAGCCGTTTTGCAGGACGACCATCAGCGCGGCCTCCTCGCGGCCGTAGCGGCCGTAGCGCATCGCGGTGATGGTGCCGTAGACCTGGCTGACGTGGCGGAGGACGGTCCCCACATACACGCGGACCTCGCCCCGGCGGAGCCCCACGACGAGGGCCCGCGCGGCCCCGTCCGCGGTCTCCGCGATGGGGACGAGGGCGGCGATGGGGGCGCCCAGCGCGAGCTCGCCCGCCGGCCGCCCCGCCGCCGTGAAGTACCGCAGCTGATTCGCCATCGTGGCGACGGCGAAGAGGTCGCCGTAGGCCGCGATCGCGCAGGGCGGGGCCGTCAGGGAGGTCACCAGCGCCGTCAGGACG